GTCCTGTCTCTTCCTTGCCGAAGCTGATCTTCGACTGACGTAGTCTTCTCATTATATCTGAGTCAGTGTAAAAAGAAAACAATACAATGTTATATCTTCAATGTTTTACTCAAATTGAAATGAAAGAAAAGCATTATACGTTTGAAAAGGTAATCCTTCTGACATTGGATGAATGTAATTAACTTTAGCTCTCTAGCTAGTTTATTCACGCAATTTAAACCAAAGTATAGCCTAAAGCTGCAATATAAGTTAGTGTGCATGTTGTCGGACGTCCACTGACTAACGTAGAGCGTTCACACAGGATCTGCTGGTCATACGATGTCCTGATGAACAGAAACACAAGCAGCCCACTGGACTCAGATCTCTAGATACTTCATCACTCCTTCGCTGCTCCAATACAACTCCGGGCTGCGGTGGTTTGTTGATACATGTCGTCTTCTTCTGTTTGTTTTAACCGAGGCTACGTAGTTATGCAGCGCCCCCATCGGCAGTAATTGGAAGTACTACAAAGAATCCCGTTTAGTGCAATTATTTCACAAGTTTTGTTATACACAGCTCGGAAAATATTACCGAGGTCCGGACCTCGGTGACCTCAATGGTGGATACGGCCATAATGTGAGCGTCCATTCCCATTGAATAATGGAGGATTTTACACCCGGAAATAAGTATTCTCTTTACTGTCGATCGATTTGACAGTGATATCTGCACTACTCATCAACTCAAAAACACCAGATTATCCCTGTTAATTACACAACATTGATTGGTTTAAATTGTGTGCAATGCTTTTGTGGTTTTCCCCTTCGACTCTGAGAAACAAATAGTTGTATCTGAGTTTAGGATGGCAGAAGACACTACACTACCCATAATCCTCAGCTATCGTTTGAGACTACACCATGTGCTTTGCTTGACAAACCCCGTGATTAGTTCTCAAGCTCTGTGATTGGTTGACCTCCAACTGCATTCCATATGAAAAAAAAAACGTTTCGTAAAAGATAAAATCATACTTTATTCAGCAGTGCTTGCTTTACTCTTTGAAAGTCATCACATGAATGCATTGGAATAAATGGTTCGGCTGCATTAAATATTACACATCTGGCTTAGTTATTTATTTATCTACAGAGATCTGGCTCAGAATAGACCGGAAACTATTATTTTACCGTTCTGTTTTAATTTCACAATAAAGTTAATAGTGTAGTGATCACTTATTAACCTGTTAAGCGCTGAGCCTGTTTTTCAGGTCTCAGTCTCGAAAATGACATTCCCAGAACAAATGACCATATCTTCTAAAAGGGTTACATTAATAATCTTTTTTCTCAAAGTAATGATAAACCTGTGAGTTGGATGTAGAAAAGTCAGAATCAATATAAAATTCAGATTGAACATAGTACAAAACTGTAAATTATAGTGTCCGTCCACCCGAGGCGCGGACACAGGACGAAACAGCATGGGTAAGCGATGGACGTAAACTTTACACAGTGTTCACTTATACAATTAATGCAACTTAACGTCATGACATATACACGCTCAAACATATTATTTGCACACAATGATTAATCTCAACCACTGTCATTCTTACACAATCATAAACACTTTTGGCGCTCTCGCTAACCCCCCCTCTCTTTTCAGGTGGAGCCGAGGACCCGACCAGCATCTGCCAGACGACATTCCAATTAATACGGTTTAATCATTTAATAAATACTACATCAATAAATAGTATAATTTATATAACAATGTGCAAATATGCAATGCTAAACTGTACTGTGCAAATCACGCTAATAATGTGCAAACTGTTCACTACTAGTGCTGGGTGACATTATTTCTGTTCAAAGGGAAGTTGTTTCATAAAGTGCTAACCCACATGTGCAATATGTGGGAGGCTGTGGCTCAGTGGGTAGTGTGCTGGACTTCGAATCACAGGGTAGCAAGTTCGAGTCCCACTGCGTCAGCATGTCGTTGTGTCCCTGGGCAAGACACTTCACCCGAAATTGCTCCTGTGGGGTTTGTCCACAGTACTGATTGTATGTAAGTCGCTTTGGATAAAAGCGTCTAACAAATGAAATGTAATAATAATAATGCAATATTGCAAGGCCCGAACCCGTCAGTCCATAGTAACAAAGTTACCTTCGTTACACACAGATACTTTTACTGCTGATACATTTACTGCAAATTCTTTGACTACAGGAACTTGTACTGTATATATTTATACTGCAGGCACTTTAAAAAATGATGGAGTCATGTGAGCCGAGCAGCTTAATGAAGAATCTTTATTTTAAGAAAAATAAATGAATCTGAGGGACAGACACTGAAACTGAAACAGAGATGTGCAGAGAGACAGGTGTGTGTGTGTGTGTGTGTGTGTGTGTGTGTGTGTGTGTGTGCGTGTGTGTGTGTGTGTGTGTGTGTGTGTGTGTGTGTGTGTGTGTGTGTGTGTTCAGTAGCAGCGCAGGAAGAAGGTGTTGCAGGCCGTTCCTCTCAGACAGTCACACAGCCGACCGATACGAGGGCCA